TCTTGTGTGTCGTTGGGATGCTGGATGCATGTCGGCGAGTAAAACGAGCGATTCCCCCTTCCACGGGAACGGTCCATGTTGGGATCTCAAGCCACTTGTCCCCATGTAGCGGAACATTTGTAGCCGTTCCATGTGGTCATGTGGACGATATAAAACTACATGGTAATATCTCTACATGGCATCGTCCAAGCCAAAGTGGTGGGCTGTTTTCAAGGTGGTCGTGCACGTGTTGTGCATTGTTGAAATCCGCCGCGCACTCAGAGTACCCATGCTGGCTATAGATGCACGTGATGTGGTCGCACCTGCCATTCTTTTCTGTCGGGGCATGGCAGTCGGGACACATCTTGGCCGCGACAACTACCCACTGGTCAGCAGTTGGATGGGTGGTCTTGCAGTGCGCCGCACTGGAACGTTTCCTCGTCAATGGGGGTGTCGTTCGGCACGCTCGGGGAAGCAGATCGTGCGACCATGCTTACTTGTGCCTTCTGTCGCCGCTGTCCCCCAATCTTGGCGTCCTTCGCAAACACAACCACGACCTGTGCGCGCTCCACCTCGACAAGACGGCTGCATTTAGTGACCCCAACATGCACTATGGTTGGGCTTTCGCGAAGGGATTGATGGCCCCGGTTTGGGAGCGCCGTACCTTTTCGCCAGGTAAGGACCGCACATTTTGGTCAAGCACCGTCCGCAGGCGCTGGAGAGTTGGTCCACACGTCGCGCAAGGACTGGCGCGATTGAGGTGCTTGGTGAACCACTTTGCCGCGAGGGGACGGTAGACCAGGTCCAGTTTTCTAAATGTTAAAAGTCACACATTCAACATGGAAACCGTGCGAATTGGCCAATAAGCGACGTCACGTGGGCCAAATGTTGGCCTGGAAGCACGAGAAGATGCATGCCATCGTGAGAATTGGACGACGATTGACACTACGTGACTCCATAGTGCTTTCGTACAGAGGTACCTCCGTCGATTTGAATCAACATGGTATTTGCCAATTTCCAACGGCGAAGTACCATGTTGAGATTTTCTCGATTTTCACTACTTTCCGACAGTTCGAAATATATTTTTTGAATCGATATAGTAATTGCTAGATCACACCACCAAACGTCACGACAGGGCGGATCATGACAGGGCTGCACGAACGGAAGAGGACAACCTCGAGCAGGGTTGGGAGAGCCCTTGTCGACTGAGCGACACGTCCTGGGCTTGTTGCCAAGCAGCGTGCGTCGCGACAAGGATTGTACAGGTACTACCGGCATCTCTTTGAGAGACGTGACATTCTCGGTGCTAGGTTCAATGTGTGCGTCCCAATCGCAAATGCCGTGCTCGAGACGACTCCGCGACAGCTCACTTTGAATCCCGCCATGGCAGCAGCCAAGCTCGCAATTAACTTCCTCGTCCATCCACTCAACGTACCTCACGTGGACGACGAGTCCGCGCCGACTAGAACATCTCTTCATCACCAGCTACGAAGACAGCAAGTGAGTCCGTGGGAGAACACCTCCAAATTCCGACGACGAAAAACGAACCGAGCATCGTCCACCCGAGCCAATACAGCGTCAAGATCCACTCAATCCTCACTAGGCACGCGAGCCCTGCTAGCTGCTGCACCCGCAACGCGAGTTCCTTGGAGTGTAGTCGTGCAGGCGTTGGTCGCGTACAAGGTCGTACACGGAGACATGCAGGTGGCCCAGAAGTTCAAGGTGCCTCGGAGCACCGAGTGGCCCGCATTGGCGTGGGGTCTCCCACTCGGTGTCCGTGTGCACAATATCCGCAGCACCAAATTGTCACTTCCAACGTCGAAGCGGATGGATCTCGACGCGATCGGGTTTGACTGGGAAGGACCGCGGCGGTCGATTTCTTTTCCCATGAAGGTGGCGGCGCTCGCAGCGTACAAGGCTGCATATGGGCACTTGGAAGTGCCGCAAAAGTACACTCTGCCCGACTCGAACGTCCAATGGACTGGGAACCCACTGGCCCTTGGGCGAGTCGTCAACAAGCTCCGTCGAAGCAAAGACACCATGAGCAAACACAACTTCGACATCCTCGACAGACTCGGTTTCTCGTGGACTGCCGTGTCGGCCGTCGAAAACATGGGCGAGTCCATTGAAACCTGCGTCGCGTTGGTGGCGCGTTGCTGCTTGAACGATGCCCACGATGCGCCGACAACGGGCCATCACCCAAGTGCAGTGAACGTACGATCAAGTCGCTCGTCCAAACGACGACAACTTTGACGTACAACATCGGAAGCGCAACTCGAAATAATTAGCGCCCTCAAACCTATGGCTGCATGTTTGGTGCACATGCCCACCTGGTTTGAGATCAAGTGAGATCAAATCCGATCGCCGACGGATTCTCTCGCCGTCCCGCTTCTATTCTACGCACATGCCCACAGGCATCTGCCCGGTCCATGCCGCCAGCTCGCAGCACCGATTCCTTCGCTCCATCCCCACCCTCGTACGGCATTTGTTTGTGCACAAAGACGCTCTTTAACGTCCACCAATCAAATTGCGCGATAAAACATTGTCTGCTCGGATTGGCCATTGCTCCAAATGGCAGGACATTCAAGGACACCTTGCTGAATTCTTGCCATTGGATTGGCGGAATTTCCAAAAAATTGGCGATATTTCCACCCAAAGAATTCCTGAAGTCCAGTGGGTTCTCGAACTGCGTCGTCCCACGACAGTCTGTCGCACATCGTTGGTACCACCGCCTGCGTGGCGCCACCATCGCCCAAGTTTTCTGTATTATCTTGCCCGCGCCACTGCTTGCAATGTCGTCGTCGACGTGCGTGCCGTCGGTGCCGTTGGGCCTCGTGTGATCCGTGAACCGACGGCAAATTTTGGCCTCCACCTGTGCGTGTTTCTGGAACAAACCAGCCGCCCACGTGAAAGTTTGAACTTCAACGAATTTTTTGACTCCGCACCTTTTCGGCAATGAACGGGCGGATTTAACGCGTTTTTTTGGACGCGTCTGTTTTTCTAATTGCTGCGTCCGTGGAGATATTGGACGTGGTTGGTTCGACGTGTTGTGCACAGTGCGTCCGTTCAGAGAAGTTGCTGCATCGTTCGCTGGCTGAGGACGGCGTTTTTACGGGAACATGCAGAGGGAAACCGCCGCATCCGATTTCATGCATGAAGTGCTGTCACAGACCCGAAAGAACAGTGGAGTCGTGCTCCTTCGAAAATTCAGCAAAGGCACACACCTCCGGTGGCCAGGACAGATTTGACCTCGGAATTGCACGGGTGCAAATGTTGGCTCGGGGATTCTTGCGCCCCAGTCGGCTCGCCCGAGCGGCCTCGCAGCCACCAACAGTTGATACCTCCCAGTTCTCTCTGTTTTTTTTTCGAGGGGGTTGGGGGTCTTTAACCCATAAAACGTGCTCCCCCGGCAGTAGAAGATTCCTTGGAACAAGGTGTGATCTTTTCACGCAACAAAGGCCAAACGTTGATATAATACTAATCATACTTGATGTTTGTATACCTTAGTAAGAATTGTTAATAAATTAGGGTCATCCAAATTCTTCTTCATTTCCAAATCTACGTGGAACCCCTCAAAGCTCACCCATCATGACGGACCTCAGTGCGTTCACCCAGTTCCCCGGCAACAAGGTTTTCCTCGCCCGCGCCGGCGTCTTTGTGGCGACCGTGATCTCGTTCTTCACCTGCACTCGTGTTACTGGCATCAGCGAAGGCGACTACGCGTTCCTCGTCAGCTTCATCGCGTTGTCGTATGTGCTGTTGCACTCGTACTTTGTCACGTTCCTCAATGCCGTGTCGTTCGTGCCCCAAACCCAGTTGATTGTCGATGGTGTCCTCACCATCCTATTGTTGGCTGGTGCCATTGCCCTTGCCAGCTTCCGCTGGTTGCCTGGCGCTGGTGTTGTTGCTGTCATCTTCCTCTTCATTGCCACCCTTTTCCAAGCTGGTGCAGTGGCCCTTCAATGGATGGAGCGCAATTCTGCCAACAACTCGTCCGAACCTGCTTCGTCCGTCGACGCACCTGGTGACTTCTACATCAAGGCCACCACCCCCGTCGGTGAAGCTCCCATCGTCAAGGAGCCCGAACACAGCGCTGTTTAATTAACCGAATGTTTATGGAATGATCTCATGCTCTCTGCACCTCTCTCTGTCTGCATCCCCGGTGCAGACAAGGATAGAAATTTGGGCTTGATCAGGATTGCACCGATGGAACATCCGTGAAAGTCCGGCGGGAGACGCCCCCGCGACCGACCAAGAACCCCAATCGCATCTACAGAGGGCATTCGAACATGAAATCGACTT